CATTTCTTATACTTGTTATTTGTATTTCTTCATCTGAAAAGTGTGCATTCATCTCAGATGCCCATTTTGGACTGGGTCTTTGAATTTGAGGGGATCTGATTTTTTAAATTCTTTATAAATTCTAGATAAAATTCTCTGTCTGAGGGAAAACTGACTAAAATTTACTCCAATTTGTGGTTATCTGTTCTCTCTGTTGTGATTTCTTTTGATATGTAAAAGCTTTGTAACAAGATGAGGCCCCAGTTGTTGATTCTTTGAAGTATTTCCTGTGCAGTTTGGGATTTGTTCATGAACTCTCTACCTACACCTATATCTTCAAGAGTTCTACCTACTTTTTCTTTTTTTTTTTTTTTTATTTAAGAGGAAAAAGAGAAAAACACAAAACAAACCAAAGCAGTGTAAGGGTACACGTAATACAGAACTACAAAAAAAACAAAACAAAAAAAAAAAAAAACAAAACAAACAAAAAAAAAAACATAACAGTAAGAAATCACCTGTTAGTATATTACATATTATCATCTTGAAAATAGTTCCTCAAATCACAGTATCAAAGAATACAAGGTGGACATTCAAACAGGTAGACTGCAAACAGCTGTGTTCAATGATCCAAAAACATTGATACAGTCAGCTATTTAACACCCCTAAACACACTTGCTGTTATATCCGTTAGAGCTCTTTTTCTTTTCTTTTTTTTTTCCCTCTCTTTTTTACAACAAAATTCACGCACTTTGGATTTCATTACTCCTTAGTGCTTATTACTTTTTTTGGGGGGGGGGGAAGAATACAGTCAAATATGGCAAAACAAAGCTGTCAGTCAATACCAAGGATAGACATAGCACATGGTGTAGAACAGAGTACAAGTTTATCAACAATGGTTATCAACGTTGTCCCTTGTTTCCTTAAAAAGAATTGTCTCTCGTATTAGATATTATAAAGTTGGACAAAACAGTAGAGAACAAGACCAATAAAACTTAGGCATTGTAAACATTACAGGACTTCCAAAGAAGACAATAGTCAAACCAGAATGGGTATCTTAGTGAATCTTATTGTCTTCAAAGTAGTTGCCTATGTCTTGAAACTTGATACTATCATATAGAATGGAACAGAGTCTAATCAGTCAAAACAAGATCGTGGGAGTACTACAGGACTTCAAAACAAGTTAATAGGAAATCGAAAAGAGTTACTATTTATATATCCTAATTTTTTTGAATTTTTTCTTTAATTAAGACAAACATAAGAAATGACTAAATAATTTTTTTTTGAAACAATAAGGGGGAGATTGAGATAAAACAGGACATAACAATATAACAATAGAGGTCACAGCATGACTGTTTCAACAACCTAGTACTTCACCACCTTATAACCTGACTTAATAGTAGTTACCATAGTGTCTTTTTCCTTGAAATATTTGGATAAAACTTCATATACTCTAGCTTCAAATATTTTCATATCAAGAAGCCCAGAATAAAGCCTTTCTAATTAATGAGTGAAAACTTTATAAGGCTTCAAGGCCACCTAATGGGGAATCATGATTACCACATTTTTTTATATATTTGAATCATTATTTACATTAGGGAAACTATTCGGTATTCACACATGCGAGATTGATTTATTTCACTAATGAGTATGGTCTCAAGCTGCGCCCATTTATTGATAAATATCTCAATGTGATCCTTCTTTATAGCTGAATAATACTCCATTGTATAGAAATACCACAACTTTTTTATCCATTCCTCAGTTGATGGGCACTTGGGTTGTTTCCAAGATCTGGCGATTACAAATTGTGCTGCTATAAACATAGGTGCACATATATCACTGTGGTATGATGCTTTCAGTTCTTCTGGGAATATGCCTAGAAGTGGAATAGCTGGAATAAATGGGATTTCCAGTCCCAACGTTTTGAGAAATCTCCAGACAGATCTCCACAAAGGCTGTACCAGTCTACACTCCCACCAGCAGTGCAGGAGAGTTCCTTTTTCCCCACAGCCTCTCCAGCATTTGTTGTCGGTTTTCTTGATCCTGGCCATTCTTTCAGGAGTGAGATGGTATCTCAGTGTGGTTTTAATTTGCATTTCTCTAATGACCAATGATGATGAGCATTTTTTCATGTATTTATTTGCCATTTGCATTTCTTCATCTGAGAATTGTGTATTCATCTCAGATGCCCATTTTTGGATTTCTTCCAGTAGATTTAGTGTTTCTGTTTTAATATTTAAATTTTTGGTTTTTTTTTTTTTTTTAAGTCTTTTTCATTTTTATCAGTACCAGGGATCAAACTCACGACTGCCTGCTTGCAAGGCAGGCGCTTATGGCGCTGAGCTAAATCTCCAGCCCCAATATTTAAATTTTTTATTAATGCTGTGTGTGTGTGTGTGTGTGTGTGTGTGGTGCTGGGAATCTAACCCGAGACCTTGTAGGTACAAGGGTTCTACCACTCAGCCACATCCCCAGATCAGAGGGAGGAAATTTCTTTTTCTGGCATCTTTTAGATAATTCATTTAATATTTCTAAATCTTGTTATATCAGCTGTTAAATAAAATTTAACAGTGTAAGACATTTTTTAAGACTTAAGATTACAATTTCTGTGATGTGGTCCCCTATGAAAAATGGTTCAATAAGTGCTAATTCCCTGTTACAACTTCATAGAAGAAATGTTAATAAGGAAAATGTGTTATACATGCATTCATTAATTTTTGTATTTTACATACCTAAATGGTTATGACTTTCTTTCCATTTTGTGGTTTAGCACTTTAAAATAGCATTCTGAAATTCACTCCACATTAGTGTATTCCTCCCCAGATACTACTTTTGTTATGTGCATACCATAATTTATGCAAGCAAATCTGTTAGATATGTTGGTTGTTGGCTGTGTTGAGTATTAAAAAAGTCTTATGGAGAATAAAATTTTTACTTTTTTGCTGATAAATCTTTGAGACATCTTCCTCAAGCAGGGCTCTGAATCATAAGGTTAAAGGTATGCAGTGTTGTATTTTTAGAACTATGTCATAATTCTTTGATAATCATTCCCTTGGAAGTACCACTAAATTCCCATTTATTTGACTGTCAACTGCCTTTAGTGACTCTCTTTTAGTAAACATAATATAAAAGTAGGAGAGATCTCTTCCAATTTAAGTTATTTAAAAAGACAGCAGTTTATGTTGTGTATGCTTTCTTCTGATTCACTTGGTCTGTGCAGAAATCAGCTACCTCATCATAAAGCAGCCTTGAGGAGGATGACATCCTGTTATGAGGACAAAGAGAGAGCCTGTGGAAAGGCCCACATGGTAGATAACTGAGGCCTTTAAGCAGCCATGTAAGTGAGTTTCAAAACTAATATTCTGAAGCTTGCCAATAGTCACTTGCTGAGTTTGGAAGCATATACTGCTCCAAGTGTGTCCTGAAGTAATTTCTGCCCAGATCTGTGGTTTTATTGCAACCTTAGGGACTAAACCCAAATCACCCAACTAAGCTGTTTCCATACTCTTGACTGGCAAAAACTATGAAATAATAAAAGTAATAATCGTAGTTCTGCTAGTTATCAAACCGTCTATAAAGGGGCATCACCTCAACTCAAAGTTCTATAGTTACATAAATATTTACTGACTGATATGTGTTTATGACAGTGTAACCACAAAGGGCAAGCCTGCGCTATTACTATGAGAAAACCTGCCTTAGTCTCTGCTATATTGCTATATCAAAGTACTGAGCCTGGATACTTTAATAAAAATACAGGCTTATCTAGCTTACAATTGTGGTTGGTGGAAGGCCCGACCAGCACAGCAATGGTATGTGGCAATATCACATCACAGACAAGACGAATGGGAAATACCACATTCAGAAGGGGACTAAGCACAGGACCACACTTTAACGACCCACTTTTGTGACAGCCATTGCTTACCCTCTGCTGTGCCTTCACTAAACTTTAATCAAAGTGCTCTTGTGCTCCCAACGGGCCTCTAGCCTTAAGCTCACTTCCAAGTTTAAAAATTCTAACCACAGAGCTACATTCTCATAGTAGCAATTCTGAAGGAAGCTCTCCTGTTAAGTCCATGAGAATTAGAATTACTAGTATAAAACTCGCTGCTTATTTAATTATATGGCCAAAATCACAACCTATGTGGGAAATTATGATTCAAAATCATACCCATTTATACACACGAAACAACAGTGTAAAGTGCATTTTAAAAAACTACAAAAACTCGATGTAAGGTGTTAAATTTAAGGTGGCAATTTTAGTACTCACTTTCTGTAGCATTTTTAAATTATTTCTTTTAAATTTTGTGAGTTTAGAAGAAATTCCTTCAACTCTTTCTCAGTCTTTCTCGTTCCTCCCCCATTTTGTGGTCTCTTTTCTGTGTCTAGGTCTCGCAGTGTCTGTGGTCTGTCTCTGGCGCCGCCCTCAGCTCCCACCTCCGGCTTTCCCTGCATGTCCGCTCTCCCTGCTGCCGCTCCTCCAGGTCTTCTCTTCCTCTGCTCCACACAGTGCCATCTCTGTTCCTGAGTTTCCTTCCTCTTCCCTGACTCTGAAGTTTTCGCTTCTGTTTTCCTCTGATCCGATCGTCCCCCTCTCCGCCCCCTCTCCACCCCAGAAACCTATTGCTATAGTTGCACTCCTCCGGAATTCCTTCCCGTCCTTATTAGCATAATCACCGGTAGTCATGGTTACGCATCCCTACTCCGCCCCCAGGTTTCGGCCTGCGATGGAATCTCCCGCACCTTGAGAAACACGTTTACGCGGAATCACTGACAAAAAATATTTTACCATTCCAAAGATTCCTTTATCACCAAAGCATTCTTCCCGTAAACAACGGGACCACTACACCGGCTTCCCCTCCCCTGACCCAGCAAAATCTCTCTTTAAACGTTCGCGGTTTGCTAACTGACTCCGCCTTAGTCTTTTCTGTGATCTCCAACTGTGGTTACCACAGGGCTTGTACGGAACCGACTGGGTTCAAGATGGCGACTCCCTTGCCGAAGCTGCCTGGGAGCAGCCATATTGCCTCCAGAACAAAGTCCCCGGTACAGAAGAGCAGGGGCCCAGAGCCCAGCGCCCCGCGCTCCCACAGGAAGCAAGAGAGAGCTTACCAATATGGCTGTGATAGCTGTCACTTTTAAGCTGTGATGGGCGTCTCGGGGCCTGACCGAGCTGATGGTCAGAAGAGGTACATGTCCTGTGATGAGTGAGTCAGTGGGCTTGGCGTTGGGAAAGGAGGGGTCAGTGAGGGCCTGTGCCAGGAGATTTATATTCACAGGTAAGGGATGTAGAATTAGTAATAGACTTATTCGGGAGTCAGGGAAGGAATGTGAGCTACTTGATTAACAGTTGTAGAATGATGACATAATCGGTGTCTGTGGGCCCAGGCATTGCGCGTACCAGGGTGAACTGTTATGGGTGACTGGGTACAGTGGGTTAGGCTGCTGTGAAATACTGTGGTAGGACAATTTGGACTAAATGATGAGGGCATCCATATGGGTTATATAGGTGTCAGACCCAAAGATTCCCGCATCTGGAGGTGCACTTACAGAGTCAGACCATCATGGTAGTCATTACCAGTTTTCTAAAGAAGCCTTTAACTGTGTTAAGTTTGACAGGTCACAAGCAACTTTTGACTACTTAAAAGTTCAAGTCCGTCTTGACTTCGTTCCTCAGACTATCATGGTCCCTTTAGCCTAGTGCCCGCTCAATAATGTTCACTTTAAACAAGACCAAACAAATCAAAGTGAATAGAACTGTAAAAAGTTGGTTTCAGTCCTCCTTTCATTGAAATAGTTTTATATTTTACACAAAAAACGTTTATTTAGCATCAAATGGGTATATGGACATTCATATAACTATTTCTCTTAATTTTTCTTCCATATTTATTTTAATATATATTGGAATATCCTGCATAAAATATTAATCTGTCTCCTTTTCACAGGATTCCCCTCTTGCTCTGAACCAATTCAACCTTCTCATGACTCTTTCTAAGGAAATGAGAAATACCAAGTTTGTACCTTCGTATATCATGGTATATTTCCTTTTATGAATGATTGCAATTTAGCATTTTTAAATGCAGCCAATTGCATTATTAAAATTAGTGTCATGGTTTTTGTTGGTGGCCCCCAGGCCTCATGTATTTGCATCGTGCATTTGTGATTGGTTCATTGTCTAGCTCGGATTGGAGGTGTGAGTGCTACAGTGGCCTAGGGGTGGAGCCAGGATGTAATGTAATGGCAGAAAGAAGGTGTGACTCGCTGTTTTGCCAGTTTCTGCCTTGCTATTTGCAGCCTCCGTGAACTGCTGCCCAGCCATGCCACCCTGCCTTGGGGCCAACTGAGTATGGACTGAAACCTCCAAAAACTGTAAGAAAGTTTTCTTTCCCAACTTTGGGCTTCAGGTATTTTGTCTCAGCAACAAGTAAAAGGTAACTAAGACAATCAGCAGTAAAAATTTGAACAAAATATATTAAAATTAACATTTTATTTAATGAATATTGATTTGAGAAAAGAGTTTGCTATGGTAGGGGAAAATATGAGAGCTCTTGGGATTAAAATTTGAGCTGCTGGTTCTTTTTAGAGAAAGGGAAAAACGTTTAGTCACTCCTTACTACCAGAGAACTCTATCTGCAGTTATATCTTTATGAATATATCCATGATTACTGTCTTGTGATAATGTTCCACAACAAAATTGCTGGTTCCCAGAAGGCACAATAAGTTATTAGTAAATTAACTGGAAATGTGTCTCTACATCAATGAAAAAACACTCTTCCTTGTTCTGTGAGTAATCATAATGTAGCCATTACACGGCTACGTTCGCGTAGCCGTGTAATGGCTACAATAATACACATATAATAAGCACAAGAGGAGAAAACATTTGTTGATCAGTACCTTCTGAAATGGTGCTTACTGATGTTTCTGTAAGGCTCAAACAACTCTCTCCTTCACAGTGATCCTTATCCACTTGATTTCTGATGGTCATTGTTTCAGGAATGTGGAAGCCACAAATGAGTCTAGACTGCAAAAACTTAATTCTGATCACCAAATTTTGCTTTTTCAGGCATCTGCCCTTTTGGAAGAGTACAAAAAATGAAGTCCCAGGTGAGTTGCTTTTTAAAAATTAACCTCCTTTGTTTTCCATACAGTCAAGTGCAAAGTATTAGTAGCTAAATTTTACATTATGGAAAAAGAAACAAGAATAAAAATCAAGGCTTAGAAGGAGGTGCTAAGCAATATGTGGAAAATCTGGTTTATACCATTTTTATAATTTATGTCAATTTCATGTCCATCCTTATAAACATTAGCAGCGAATTCCTTAAACCTAAGCAGACAAATTTCCCATGGGAAGAAAATATTTCTTGCCATGTAAGACTAACAAAATTTCTTTTTGCATCTTTCACTATGTCATAGAATACATACTGGTTTCACCAAACACTAATGCAACAGTAGTTGTCTATTATTAACTTGTGTTTTAAAGTTATTTATTTTTATAGAAAATATAAATGTGATATATATTAACCTTAGTGAAAGGTTTTTGAGCAAGGATTGGTACATTATTACTCATGGGCCAAATCCAATTCTCCATCTTTGCAGTGATTTATAGAGGCACAACTATGCCATTTGTGTACATATTGTCAGTGGCTGTTTTTGACTTATAATGGCAGAGTAAAGTATTACACCAGAGCCATATGGCTTTGCAATGCTAGAAATATATACTTCACCTAAAAGCCTTGTTGACCCATTCCTTAAAATAATAAATTTGTTATAAAGTTTTCCTACAGTCTACTTTTATCCAGAGATAAAAGTCTACAAATTTTAGATAGACACAATTTGGATGCTGCTTAAAAATACATTTTTCCCAAGAAGCAGTTATCAAATTATATATATCTGATAAATATTTGGAGGGCAGAGTTCCCTAATGCTCTGTCCTTTGCTGTGCTTTCAAAATTCATAGGTTTACCTTCCAAAATTTTTTTCTAATTATCTATTTTTTAAAATCCATATTAATTTTATTTTCTCTGTGTCGGCATTCATTAAATGCATGGTATAAAATTTAAAACTACACAAGAAAATTAAAAGCAAAGAGATCTTTTAACTTACATTCCTCATCCCTGAGATGATCAATTTTAATTATTTGTTTTGAACCTTCCAAATCTTTTTTTTATATAACTGCAATTTAGTATGTATGTGTGAATTTACAAATAGGAAGTGTCTCTTATTTTGTTTTATTTTTCTTTTGGAAAAATAATAGATTTTTTTCCTGCAACCTGATTTTTAACTTCCTTTCCAGTATAAAGGTTTTTGTATATGTTTTATTTAAATTCCCATGTAATACATAGAATTTTCCTTTGTTATTTTTGCAGATGTATGATATTGTGACCTGGTCACCTGAGGTTGTTTCCTCATATGTGAAAACAAAGACTATAATCTTCCTAGGATTGTTGTGAAATTTAGGGGGTACAAAAGCATAACTAGGATGTGGCTTTTACTGTATGTGTTAGCTTTTATTGCATCATCATCCTCACTCTCTAATCTTAAAATATGCTTTCATATTAGTAGTCCTACAGAATTTAACAACACATTTCTATGGAGAAAAGATGCATTTGTTTTTCTTTTTAGCTATCAATGTCTTTAGAGTGATGTTCTCCAGTATAGTGGCTACCAGAAATATGTGGTATTGAGCACTTAATGTTGATTAATCTGAATTAAAATGTTTGAAGTATGATTTATAAGAATTTGAAAATGTGTTTTAAAAACTCACTAATAGGACCAGGGATTCAGCTCAGCAGCACAGCACCTGCCTGGCAAGTGTGAACTCCTAAAGTTCAATTCCTGATACAAAAAAGAAAGAAAAGAAGAGAAAGACTAACAGTTCTTAAAGATTACATATTGAAATAATATTTTGAGTGACATATTAAGATATATATTATTGGAAATAACTTTTTGATGTAGCTCCTAGAAACTATTTTTGTACCAGGATCAAACTCATGACCTCACACTTATCAAGCAAACCCTCAAACTGCTGAGCTAAATCCCTGGCACTCCTAGAAATTTTTAAATGATCTTTCCCCTTAGCATTCTAGTTCTATTAGATAGTATCTTAATTATTTTTTCACTTCTCATACAAAATAACCAACATATAAAACTAAAGGAAGAAAACTTTGTTTTGATTCATAATTTATAGAGGTTTCAGTCCATAATCAGCTAGCTCAAAGTAGGGTGGCATGACAGAGAGTTATTGCAGAGGAGAAACAGTTCATGGTAGGCAAAAAGCAGCAAAAAAAATCTAAGAAGCATGTTCAAGCAACCAGTAGCAAACAGCTAGCAGCAGGACTCTTTGTGTCCTTTATCTTATATCCAGGATACCAGCCTTTAGGGTGGATAGCACTCACACCCTTAATCCTAGTATTATACCATGAATCAATCCCAGCATCACACACTGGATCCAGACATGTCTGAAAAAGCCCCACTTATGACCACATGAGACTTTGAGGGACATCTAAACACAAGCTATAACATTCCACCTTTAGGGCCTCAAGGTGCATGAAATCCCTTTATACAAAAATTATTTAGTCCATCTCTAAAAGTTGCCAAAGCCCTAACAGCTTCAGTCCAAGTTCAAAGTTCTCCTTGAGATTCAAGGCAAACTCTAATTGCAAGGGCCTGTACAAATGAAAAGAAAGTTAAACACTTCCAGTATTCAATGGCAAATGATAAACATTTCTATTCCAAAAGGTAAAAATAGAGGGATACAAAGGAATGAGACCAAAGCAAGTCCAAAACCCAATAAGGCAAACAATAAGTCCTGTACTTCCATGTCCAGCATCCAAGACAGACTGTGGCAAGATGTGAACCCAAAAGGGCTTGTGTAGCTCCATCCCTATAGCATTTCTGGTGGTTGTAGCTCCCACATCTTCTCTTTTGGGCTGATTCTACTTCCTCCTTTCAGTTTTCTTCAGATAATACATGATACTGGATTCTTCAAACTTCTGGGGTCTCCACTGCACATTTGGGGTCACACACTGCCTTCTCAGGGTGCACAGCCTGGCATCCCAGGCCTTCTTCTGAAATCTGGATGGAAGCATTCCTTACTCTACAACTCTTGCATTGTGCATCCACCTAAAACCATCACCACATAGATAATGCTAAGGTCAGATACCAATTCAGAGTGGTAGCCAGGCTTTCTTGTCTCTTAGCTGAAGAAGTCCAGTGCTTATGAACCAAATCCCAAGGAAAAGCTCCCATAGGTTGCCACCATTCTGGAACATGATATGCTGGGTCTGTCTTCTAAAACCAAAGTCTTTCACTTTTGCAATTTTGAAGGTGCAAAGGGTGTAGTCCTACTGGTTCCTGTGATGTTCTCAGGCCATCTTTTCTATTGTCTCCTTGTGACTATTTGTCTTTCTCTTGCTAGTCTTTTCAATGTGACCAACTTCTCCTGTGTTCCATCTTTGAACACTAAAACTTTACAGGAGCTTGTTGTCTGGCCACACTTTTAATCCTAGCATTGAACCACAGTTCAGTCCCAGCATCACACACTCTAGATCCAGCCACCTCTGAAAAAGCCCCACCTCTGACTACATGAGAACTGTCATCTAAACACAAGCCAGATAACACTACATTAGAGAATAAACAGGACTTGTTTGTTTGCTTGGTTGCCCAATAGGCTCAACTACCATAACTCAACAGCTGATAAAATGTTTTCTCCTTGAGAAGAGGGCTTTATATTTTTCTGTACCATTGGGAAGTAAAGTCATCACTTTTCACATAGGCTTTTTTTCCTCTAATAGCTACCCCTCTTCAATTGATTTCATCTTCAAATGCTGCTTCCATTCTCCAAGCCTCCCACACTATGTAAAAGTTGTTTGTGGGCCAGGGATTTAGCTCAGTGGCATAAGCAGCTGCCTGGCAAGTGAGAGAGCATAAGTTCGATCCCCAGTACCCCCCCAAAAAAAGTTGTTTGCAAATAACCACGTTCCATTGATTATGCACTATATTTTTCTCAAAATTAACAAGATTTATACCTACCTAATATACTGAAGCTTCTGAAATATCATTAATAAAATGGTAAAATAACATTAATTGTCCATCAGAATGTATTTCCTCTATATTCCACATTTATTATTTTTCTCATATTACTACTTTTTGGATCAAATGAATGTAATTCATTAATTTACAAAAACTTTTTAAGTAAACAGAAGTATTCACTTATTTTAATTTCTATAATCTTCATTCATTTTTCGCAAACATTTCTTAAGTACTGTAATTGTGTATTATGTATTGGCTAGAAGTTGACTGTCTCAAGAGATTTCTTTCCTAAGAATACTGAAGACAAAAATGAGGTACAGAGGTATGAGAATTCAAAAAAACTATTACAGGTAGAGGAGCAGTGTGATATTATCACAGAAGGAAGGAGCAACCAGCTTTATAAGTTCAGTTATCAAACTTTGAGTCAGAAAGGAAATGTGATAAAGATGGAAGGAGCATTGTAGAAGTAGAAGATACAGGGCAATTTTTTTAAAATTTTATTTAAGGAGAAAAAAGAAAAAAACAGAAAAAGGGAACAAGGTATACAAAATTTCAGAAAAAAATAAATAGTAGGAAATCACTAGTTAATTACATATTGTCATCTTAGAAATAGTTGTTGAAGTTACAAAATTAAAGCATATAGAGGGGACTTTCAGACAGTGAGACTGCAAACAGTTTTATTCAATGATCCAACAAAACTCAGTAATATGGTTATCTGTCTTATACACTTAAATATATATGCTTAAATATACACTTAAATATATACACTTAAATTAGAGAACTTTCTTTTCCTTTCTTTTGCACAATGACAATTACACATTTTGGGTTTTATTACTCCCACAGTTCTTACTATTTTTTTTTTGAAGAAAGTAAAACCAAATGTGTTATACCAGGACAGAGTCAGTCAAATCAAAAGGATGGACATAATAAATAATGTAAAAACAAAATACAAGGTGATCAACAATGGTTACCATAATGCCTCTTGTTGTCTTAAAAAGAATTACGTATATCATCAGTTTTCATAAAATTGAACAAAACAGTAAAGAATAAGATGAATAAAACCAAAACACTGGAGACATTAGAGGACTTCAGAAGAAGATAATAGTCAACCAGAATGGGCGTCACAATGAATCTTATTGTCTTCATAGTTGTTGCCTATACTTTCAAACTTGGTACTATCAAGCATAACAGAATAGAGGAAAATCTGTCAAAACAAGATGGTGAGAGCAATACAGAGATTCAAATCAAGTTAATAGGAAATCAAAGTGGGTTACTATAATATATCCTGCTATTTTTATTTCTTTTTCCCTTAATTAAAAGGATAAAAATGAGAAAGTAGATAATAAAAAAGAGATTGAGATAAAAAAGAGGGCATAACAACAAAACAGCACAGGTCAAAACATAGCCATTTAAGCAAAATAGTGTTTCACCACAAGATAATCTCGACATAATAGTAGTTACCATAGTGTCTCTTCCCTTAAAATCTTTGAGTATAACTTCATATACTGTATCATCAAACATATCAAGACAATGTAAAACTGTTCAAGAGAATGACAGTATTACAGAGTATTTAGAATCAACTAATAGAAAAATGAACAATGGTTTCTGTATAATCTCCTTGTCTATAAAGGTTTTTGTTTATATTATCACATATAATAAAATCCAATAAGATACGACACATTAAAACCGATGGAGACAGAAGAACAAAAGCTTGATGGGACTTCAAAAAAAGAGGATATTAAATCAGCACTACCTATTATGATGTCTTGTTCTCTCCAAAATGGCTGTTCCTACCATCCAACCTTCTCTGCCTCATTTCTGTTAAGCTCTTTTTCTGTCGTTAATTGTCAGTTTGTCCTCTTCATTCCGCTTTCTGCTCCATTCATTGTGGCCGCTCTGCCACTGTTTGTGGAATCTTGGTATTTTTCATTTTTAGAATATCCTACAGTAACCTCTGTAGAGTTGAATTGGTGGTTGCAAATTCCCCTAGTTCCTCTTTATCCTGGAAGCACCTTGTTTTTCCATCAATTTCTAGGGACAGTTGTGCAGGATATATCAATCTTGGCTGGAGGTTATTATCTTTCAAAGCTTGAATTATTTCGCCCCGTGCTCTTCATGATTTGATGGTTTGTGCCGAGATGTCTTCTGTAATTCTGATGGGTGTTCCCTTGTAAGTGATCTGTTTCTTGTCTCTGATGGCTTTTAATATTCTGTTCTTATATTGGATTTCTGGAATTTTGATTATTATATGCCTGGGTGTAGCTCTGTTTGGATTGTAGGTGGCTGGGGTCCTGGATGCCTCATACATCTGAGTATCTTTACCTTTTTCTAAATTAGGGAAATTCTCCTTGATTATTTCTGTGAATAGCTTTTGTAGTTCATTTGTTTGAGTCCCTACTTCTTCTTTTATGTTCTTAATTCTTAAGTTATAGATCCTCTTATCATCTTCTAGTCTTTGTATTATTGCTTTGTTTTCTTGTTATTTTTAAGAAGTTTTTCATTTCATGCTCCCACCTTACAAATCTGTCCTCCAGTTCTGATAATCTATCCTTAGTTTCTTTCAAGCTGTTATGCCAGCTTACAATAGAGTTTTTAGTTTCCTGGTAATCTCTTTGAACCTGCTTCACGTATTCTATGTTTTCTCTATTTTCTCCATCAAACAATTCTCCCCTTTTTTTCTGTTCTTCCATTCCACCATCTGTTTTTTCTTGGGCGGTGCTTAGCATTTCTCTAACTATTCTACTTATTTCTTGCTTTATTTCATTAAATACTTCATTTTTTAACTCATCTATGAGGCTGCAGAGATACCGCTTTATGCCTATATGTGCCGTGTCTGATATTGCATGTTTTCTATCTTCATTCTCTTTTGCATTTACCTTTCCTGCATCAGTGTTCTCAGGATTGGGGACTGAGGACCCTTTCTTGTTGCTCCCTTTTCCCATACTTTTTGTTCCTTCCGTACAAGTGTATGTAGAAGGCCCAGTTTTTTTTTCCCCCTTTGTTACAGTTTGTTTGAATCCGCCAGCTAGGTGTTCCCACCCACTGCAGTGTACTGGAGAGACACAGACCTGGGCAGCCTCTGCTGGGCCCGCCCCTCCAAGTCAACCTACTGAATGCTTCACTGCTAGGGTGCACCACCAGGCACAGGGACCTGATTTGGGCTAGCTTACTGGATCTTAGTCCGCAGTGTCACCAGGCCAAGCGCTCCCCACCACTCCCGCTTGAGAGGGGAATATGTGACTAAAGTCACTGCAGCGTCCTGTTCCAGCTAGTCTGCTCGTTCCCAGAATGTCCTCTGTTGGAGCCTCCTAGTCTATGAAAGGGTCCCCATTTCTCTCACTCACCGTAGGTCGATGCAGAGCTCCCTGCCAGTCCCGCTCTCAATGCCATTTGGTTCACCAATTCCAGCTCTTAGAGCTTTCGCGCATCTCTCTCCCTGCTGTGCGAATTAGGACATAGTAGCAGCAGCAGGAAATTCAAATCGAAGCTTCCAATGGCGCAGGATCCAGCTTCCGCACTGAGATTTTATCTGTTCCTGTTATAGCATCAGGATTGCATTTCCAGTTGGTTTATCTCAGCTTAGTTCGTTCCTAGGTCGGCAGGGTACATCTCCCCTTGTGTAGGACTCCTCACACAGCACTGCTCCTGGATTCTAAGCTGGTAATCTCAGAGAGCCTCCATGGCTGCTGTTATTTGTCCACCATGTTCTCCCGGAAGTCCGATACAGGGCAATTTTAGCAAGGCTAAAATGTGAATCTGAGAAAAATTGAAGTAGAGATTGCTTCATAGAAAGATTGACTAAGGTGTGGTACTAAAGTGATAAAATATTAAAGAGTATGTTTACAGTGTTTGCAGTACAGCATGGGAGAGGGTCGTGGTAGATGAAAAGCTACTCAAATCACTGTGGCCAGGAAGCAAAGAGAGGAGGAAGGAACCATGGAGGGAGGCATTTACCCTTCCAGGTCCCACAGCCAGTGATCTGCCTCATACCAGGTCCTACCTTCTAACAGCAAGTCAGCTATAAACTCATCGGTGTTCTAATCCACTGATGAATATAGTACCCTCATGATCCAGTCACTTTCAAAACACAGGAGGTTTTGAGAGGAGCACTTCACAACACTTTACAATTATTAATTTGCTATGTATACTTGGTAGATTTGTTTCTCCATTTTCCTGTTATACCGAGCTCTTTTTGCTTGAGGCAAGACCTTACATTGTTTTTGAGAAACAAAACACTATAATGCAAAACTAGGTATGAATATATTTTGGGTACTATCATGGCTAGATGTGTAGCCATGTTCCCCAAAAATTCATGCAGTCATAGATGGGGCTTTTTCAGAGTCGCTGGTCTAGAGTGTGTGATGCAGGGATTGATTCATGGTGCAATGCTAAAATCAGTGACACTAGGATTAAGGATATAAGTGCTACCCTCTCTAAGAGCTGGTGGCCTGGATAAGATATAAGGGACAGAAAGAGCTGTGGTCATCCCTTGTTGCTTTGCTACTCTCTGCCAACCATGGACTATTTCTCCCTTGTGAAGCCATCGTGCCTTGAAGCCAGCCAATGAGGGACTGAAACCACCGCAAACTGTAAGCTAAATAAACCATTCCTTCCGTAAATTTTGACTGTTGGGTATTTTGTCTCAACAAAGAGAAAAGTGACTAAGAGAGGTGCCATAGCAGAAATGGTAAGAATGAGCCCTTCAAACTGAACAGGAATGTACTCTTACAGAGGTTGGTGTCATTCAAGGATGTGGCTGTGGATTTTACCCAGGAAGAGTGGCAGCAATTTTACCCTGTTCAGAGGACCTTGTACAGAGATGTGATGCTAGAGATATATAGTCACATGGTCTCAATGGGTAAGGCTACTTTGCCCACATAACTTATGAGTTCTACAGTCAAGTGCTTTTCTTTATCAGTTACTGTATTGAAGTTGTTTAGACATACATAATTATTTTTATGATCTTCTTACCTCCCCAAATGGTGAACATTATTTTGTTAAAGTTTCATAGTAAATCATCTTCTCTTCCCATATAGTTAATCCAGTTTCTTCATGATTTCCAATCAGTAGGGTATCCTGTTTCCAAACCAGATGTCATCTCCAAATTGGAACAAGGAGAAGATCCATGGATCATAGAGACAGATATGCCAAACTGGATCTACCCAGGTGCAGATCACACAGATAAAAGACAAAGAAAGTGAAATATCTGCTTGATTGATTTTTGATTGGTCTCAAAAGCTTAATGTTTATCCTTATTTAAATCTCCTATTCTTTATTCTTGTGCTGAGAATTTAATGGGCCTTTAAGAAATATTCTTTTTAGACATTTAGTAAGCAATCAAGAATTAATTGAAGGTAATATGATCCTTTAAGTGGAGAACTGTTTCTGATTCATTTACTGAATAGGTAGATAGATAAATAGATAGGTAGATAATAAGTTTTTCTATGGTATGAAAGAGCTTTAAAGGTAATAGAAGATAAAATCTTTCCAAAAATATGGGTGTACTTTAGAGGATAAAATTTTCTGATACATAATGTACATAATTAAATGGTAAGTAACTATTTTAAAACTTGAAATAAATTCAGAATTTAAGCAGATACAGCAAAATTTGAAAAGGTATTTTTCAGAACATGCAGATGTAGCTTCTCTAAATGACATAAGTTCTGGTGATGCTGCAGAAGATAATGGAAGGCTAGAATGGTTTGGAAAAGAAAGTATATGAAAAACATTGGCATTAGGACGTTACGACTTTTCTGTGTTTAGGTAGTTTTACTTGATACACATAAAGTATTGTCATGAATAGTGACATTTAGGTGGGTATCCTTGGTGTGAATCTGATATTGAATCTTTAGAAGGATCTTGAGTTTCTTTTTTTATACTTGTTAGGAAAATAGAAGAGTGTTAAAAGTATTTTGAGTACAGAGAATACCTTGTTTTTTGGAGTAGTCTCAAATGGTTTGTATGTATAGCAAATGGTATCTAAGACAAAGGAATTCAGACAATGTAAAGAGTTTTTTTTACTAGGAAAGCAATAAAAATGGAAAGATTCTAAAAGCATAATTCAAGATTAAATAATGACCTAGACACTTTTCCATCTCCTTCAAGTCTAAATTTTATACAGATAACTTCCCTTTAACATAATCACATATTCTATCAGTCATATTTTAGGATGTACTGTCTTCCAAGGTACAGTCTTTGAGTTCACATACATGATGGATCAGCCATTCTTCCTCTTTTTGTACTCTTAATTTTCTGTTATGCCTTTTTTATTTTATTTCCCCTTCTTTTAGGAAAGAAAAATAATCTTCATAACTCACAATCATGTATTTTGGGAACTGTTTCATTCCATAATAAGATATTGAAAGGAGTGGCACCCATTATAAAAATCTACCATAATGATGGACAGCTGCAGACATTTCAGGAAAATCAAGACAAACTTTTCAAGCCATTTACATTTACCAGTAGCAAAGCAGTGTTTGATGCTCCAGTGGTGCAAGTGGTTAGCGTGTGGTACTTATACAGCAAAGGAGTGTTTGAAGCATCAAGTCATAAATATAATGCATTGGAAAAAATATTTCAAGAGTACATAAAGCCAGGTATGCTAAAAGAAAGACTTCATAAATATGATTCATTTAAAAAGAATATAAAACCAAGCACTGACCTACCTAGTTACACTGCAAATAATTCAAGGAAAAACTTAGATGAGAATTTTGGTGATGCAAAAACATCTAGCCACAATGTATCTAATTCTAATCTTGAGACATTACACAATGGAATAATAACCTATAATGATAATCTATGTGAAAACATTTTCATCAATAAACAATCCCATATTCAATATAAGAATATTGAAACTAAGGAGAAAACCTGTGTCTGTATAACATGTGGAAAAGCTTTTGCTAAGAAGTCACAGCTCATTGTACATCAAAGAATTCATACTGGAAAGAAATCACATGATTGTGGCACGTGTGGAAAAGCCTTCAGTGAGAAGTTTCACCTCATCATACATCAAAGACCTCATACTGGGGAAAAACCATATGATTGTTCTGAATGTGGAAAAGCATTCTCTCAGAAATCATCTCTCATTATACATCAGCGAGTTCACATTGGAGAAAAACCATATGAATGTAATGAATGTGGAAAGGCCTTCTCTCAGAAATCACCCCTCAATATACATCAGAGAATTCACACTGGAGAGAAGCCTTATGAATGCAGAGAATGTGGGAAGGCCTTCTCCCAGAAATCACAACTCATTATACATCATAGATCTCACACTGGAGAGAAGCCATACCAGTGTACTGAATGTGGAAAGGCCTTTTGTGAAAAGTCCCACCTGATTATACATAAAAGAATTCACACTGGTGAAAAACCCTATAAATGTGTTCAATGAGGAAGCCTTCAGCAGGAAGACAGAACTCATTACACATCAGTTAATTCATACTGGGGAGAAACCCTACGGATGTGCTGATTGTGGGAAATCGTTCTCCCATAAGTCACAGTTCATCATACATCGAAGAACACACACTGGAGAGAAGCCTTATAAATGTAGTGAATGTGGCAAAGCCTTCTGTCAGAAATCACATCTAATTGGGCATCAGAGAATTCACACTGGAGAAAAACCATATGTATGTACTGAATGTGGGAAAGCCTTCTCTCAGAAGTCTCATCTCCCAGGACATCAGCAAATTCATACAGGAGAAAAACCTTATATATGTGCTCAGGGTGGAAAAGCTTTTTCCCAGAAGTCAGACTTGGTTTTACATCAGAGAATTCACACAGGGGAAAGGCCTATCAATGTGCTACATGTGGGAAAGCCTTCGTTCAAAAGTCACAACTCACTGTGCACCAGAGAATTCATACAGTGATTAAATCATAATGAACTAACTACAGGAAAGCCTTCAGTATTGGATCAGGCCTTAATAATTACTAGAAACATATTAATTTGATAAATATGAGTATGAAATCTTTAAAGATAAATTTGTACAGGGGAATTAATTTTTCTAGGATGATGATAACTGATGTTTTCAGCTAAAATGATCAAAAATAATTGTATAAGTGGACTTTTTTGAGACAGGGTCTCACTATGCAGTTCTGACAGGCCGTGAACTCACTTTGTAGTCCATTCTGGCCTCAGATTTGCTGTGATCCTTCAGCCTGAGCCTCAAAAGTGCTGGTGTTGCAGGAATGTGCCACCATGCCCAAATAAGTGGACTTTTTTGATACAAACATGTAAAAGTTTTAAAGTTTCAAACTCATTAATCTGTGGAATAAAACATGTATACAGAATATTGTCAATTTATATCCTTCATGCCATATCATAATGTTAATGAAGCACTTAAATTGCTAATATTTGCTTGGCATAAGTATAACCATACAGTTCACTATAAAGGATATAGAAGAAATCTTAGGTAAAACTTCAATACAAAACATCAGTTGTTGGTTTTGTATTATAAGAAAGGGCTTAAGCATAACATCTAAAACTAGATATAAAATTCTTATACAAAAGTAGGAGAGTGGCTTGTGCATATTCAACAAAGATACAGACATATAATATTTTCCATCTCAAGTATCTGTGTTGACTTGCATCTCTAAAAGGACCCTAGCCCTTGAAATTGATGCGTTTTGACCAGATTCCCCCTTTACTGTACCCAACCAGAAATTTAATGTAGAGACTTTAGTACTGAAGCCAGATTATCCTGAGTTTTAATCCTCACTCACTTCTCACAGATTGTGTGACTTCAGACAAGAGTACATCACTTATCTGATACTTTTTCTTATCAGTAATAAAACTCCAATGTAGAACATATATTCATTTTAATATTAGTTCTTTATCTTTCTATTCTCGTGCAACGATGCTAAGACAAACATGTAAAATCTTTGTCTGCAATTGCTTTGCACTCTTGAATACTGCTTTTGTTCACCTATCATATTTTACCATTTGACCTTGATGGCTTTACTCTTGCTATGGTAAAATCATATTTTTAATGCTTTTGGTTTTTTACATGTATAAAATGGTGGTTAAACATAACAACCCTGCCTAATGTCTCTTCAGCTCTTTCTGACCTAGAGCTCCAACTCTTTTCCCTGAAAACTGAGTATATTTACAGAGAAAAACTCTATAGGTGAGATGATATACCTGATACCTGCAAATACTGGAGAACTTAATATCTCTAAAATGCCTCTCACCCAACTCTGGTATTCCCATTTATTCCTTTATGAGCAGCTTTAGTTGAACAACTCTACTGATAGTACCTGCAGGAAGAGCATGTTTGGCAAGGATGAAGACATCTTTGTGATAAAAACAGCACCTACATATAATTTCTGCTTGAGTCCTTCACATTTCCAGCATATCTGAGCCCTTATTGACTAGTCTGTTGTAGAAATGCAGGGTTCATCTGGGCATGAAACCTTGTAGAGGAGAGACACCACTGAAAGGAATGTGGGAAGTCGGTATGAAAGATGTCAAATTTCCCGAGTGTTGATTATTCAGGTAAATGAAAAAAAATTGAAAGTCAAAGGAACAAACCCATTTGTGAATACAAAGTTAACTAATTTTATTATTAAATAACAACAATAACAATACCATTAACACACAGGTAGCCAGGACTTGTGTATGAAGCTTTAGTGAGTTTCTAGCTCTATTTATGTGGAATTAAAGATACATTTGTCATAAAGCATCCTATTGTTGGTTATCAAATTACAGATACTAAATTTTCATCAGTAGATACACTGTTTGCTCATGCTCTCTTCTTTACTCATGAACATATTCTGCTATTGCCTCTTACAGTGTATCAAACATATCATTAGTTATATTATTCAGCATTCCTCATTGAAGTTAGATCAAATTAGTTCTCTACAATAGTCAGTGTACCTCATACCAATGTCACACTAAACTTTAAAAGTATCTTACTTTAGTTCTAGAATTATATACAGAAATGTTCCAAGCAGTGAATAATGAAGAAACTTTTGAAGAAAAAAATTTAGAAAATTTACCTGGTTAAGATTTCCTGAGAGCTAGTCCCTAAAATAATACTAAAGACAATATAGGTAGTCAAATAAACCACGGGTAAAAGTGAATACAAAAATACAATTATCTGTTGATACTTGAATTATGGCAAAGATGCCAGTGTAAAGTAATGGGAGGAATGCAAGTCAGTTACCTGGGTAAAATAGTAAGATTTGAATATTAGAGACCATTCAAAAAACTGATTGCAGATGAAAGTCTCCAGGTTTTTTGTTGTTGTTGTTGTTCATGGTATCATGTCTCTGTTACCAAACCACCTGGCGACAGAGGCAATAGGAAGTAAATGTCTCTGGTGTGATCTAAAACACAGAAGTATGAGACAACAAATGCTTTCTTTTTCCATACAATTGAAGATACCTTCCTGCAATTTAGCTAGGAATCAACTCAACATTCGTATCAAAACAGTCCAACTGACCAAATGTGAACATTTTTGCCCAACTCACTAGTCTCACACAGTTAAAGGTCATCATCATCTTACCATATTAATAATTCAGGGCTACTCATAACACTGAAAATGAGCTGTGTTAGATTTAAAGACAGTTCTAAAACAAAGAAAATTGTTAGGAAACCTACCTTAAATTAAAAGGTGGCTGGCACATGAACGATCCCAACCTCTCTCTCCCCCTCTTCCTTACCTTCTCCTCCTTTCCTTCTTTCTCCCTCCCTTTGCTTCCCTCCCTCCTTGCCTCTCCATCCTACCCTAATCAATATGATAATTTGGACTGTTAAGTTAAAATTCCCATACAAGCAGACATGGGTAGCTATATTGTGCCGTGATCTTTTGCTGGTAGAGAGCATCTTCTCTGTGTATCCTCTATGCTGAGTACTAATGAGCATATCTGGAATAAATGGATATAGGAAGTGGGCCAGTGCTTAAGCCATCCCTGTTAGATCAGTATTTTTGAGTGTCACCCACAGATCCCTAGACAAGTCAGCAATATGCAAATAGGAAAGCTCAAAAGAAGAAATGACTGATAGGACCTACGATGAAAGTAAATCAGCTTCCAAAACATGGAGAGTAACTCTTGTTCCTGATCATTCCTCCCATTGTTTCCCTTCTGCCAGGACCTGCATGTGTAGCAGGCTGCCCTTGTTCTTCTGACTACCAGCTAACCTCTCCTTGAGCCTCATAAGGAAAAATGTGCCCTGCCTCCTTGAAGAAATATCAGTCAGAACAGAAAATTAATGAAACTAAAAGTGACTATATGCTTCAGAATTTAAGTACACTTACATTTTTCCTTCTTCTTAATCTTCAATAAAGTGAATAATTGTAAGACGATGACTCTCAGTCACAATACAAGGAATGTGCTGCACACTGTTAGGGACCTCATCCGACTTCCAGAACACTTTTTCCCCTGTCAGACAGATGCCCATGCCCTGCCTCAGCTCTGCCATCATGGACTAGCACTCAGTAAAGAATTTCATATCTCTTCCCTCACTCATAAACCCCTCATAAAAACCAGCTAACCTTTCTACCTTTCACTTAACAGGCTGCATTTGGCTCTGACTTCTCTGCTCTTGGGGATCAAATCCAACACATGTATTTTCTTTTACTTTTTTCTTGGCAAATTTTGACTGTCATCACCCTAACCAAGAAAAAGGAGCTAGCAAAAACCTTTGAAACTTTCCTCACTGTGTCTCTGGGGCTCACAGTGATTAAGAGATAGCCAGACCCTCACTGTGAGGCAATCCTGCATGAGGCCCTCTGGATCGCTGGGCACCTGAGAGGTTTTCATAATGTGGTTTCCACAGCTCTGAAAACATAACTGCTCATTAATGTGCAAAGTGAGGAGGGCCAAGCAGAGTAATGAGTTCCCAGGCCCTCATTATATGAAAGACTGGGATTCACACCTGACTACTTCACCACAGTCATAGTACGTGGAACAAACAGCCCTAAACCAGCTACTAAAGTGTGGGATAGTGTTGGAATTTAAGTCAGAGACTGGCATTTTCTTCACAGACTCCTTTCCTAAAAAGGAAACTAAAAGCAGGTGCATTTTCTCCTCCTTCCAACAGAGTATATGCTTCCCTGATTTGGAGTGTGAAAGGCTCTCAACTAATCTGGTCACCCTTCACAGCTGGTTCAGTGATCCAGTGAGGGCATGAATCCAGTTGGCTAGGAGAATGGTTCTCAGTGACTGAGAGGTAAAGATTTTGGACATGCCTTCAGTAACTGTTCTTGGTATTTGGGCTGATAGAACATGGCTCTGGGATCAGTGCAAATCCAGCTCTTAGGACCTTTCTCCCTCCTGTCAGTGCTGGTCAAATGGAGAGCTCTTATCCACGCAGAGTCTTATTTACTGAGAAAGAACTGGCTAGTGGGCATTAGTGACACAATGAGACAGAGTTGAGGAATCTGAAACATAGACAGCAACTTGACTCCTCATTACCATCCCCTGCATCAGCATTGCCCAGGGAAACTAGACACTCCTGACAGCTGGATGAAATATTATTCAGGGTCACTGGCTCTCTGCCCATGCTCAGGGAACCTATCCCTCTCCTGGACAACTCAGGTAATCAGATATCTCAGTAAACAATATGAAGACCCTTGTCAATCTTAAATTTCTGCTCTTCCAGCTCAATTTCATCTCAGACTGAGAAATCTAAACTAAAGAAGAATATGCTGCTGAACTTTTCCTCCTTACACCTGTTCTTCTTTGACTTTCTGCTGTTTGGGATCTTATAAAGAGATTATAGTTGTGTGATGAGTGAAAAGTAAGAAGGTAGGGAGTTAGAGGGTCCAATGCAAGAAAAGTCTCATTCATGTGCTACTTAGCAATATGACCTCAGTGGCCTCTGCACTGGGAAATGCACACTACTGCCTCTCTCTAGTATTAGGGATCATAGGGGCTCACTCTGATATCCTACTTGAATAGACAAAGCCCAAGTCCACAGGCCTTCTATTGCTTCCTGGATGTCTACAACAGGTGGTCAGCTCCCATCTCTTTTTCTTGTAAACTCATCTTGTACCTAGAATTCTATGTCCTGCTATCTGGGTTCTTCCCCATAGTCTCCCAACAGCAAGACAGCTATACAGCTCCCATAATACACTCACCTTCTGTTATGTCCAGGTGTCCCTCCAAAGTCTCATGAAGTCATAGGTGGGGATTTTTGAAGTGGTTGGATTAGAATGTGTGAATGTGGATAAGTGCATGATGCTAGGATTAAGGGTGCTCCACACTGGAAAAGGTAGCACTAATCAATAATATTGCAGCCTGGGTGGCCTATGAAGCAATAAAAAAGGCTTTCTGCTGCATCCTGC